CGGGACGCAGAAGCGATCTGGCGACAGGTAAGTCGCCAGGATCGCTTCTGTTGTAAAGCCGACAGTCGGCTCTACAAGTTTAAACAGAGTCCCGGCGGCAAAAGTCGCCGGGAGTCTGTTTAAACAGCCCCGATGCTGGCGACGTACACTGTACGTCGTCAGTCACGAAGGGGTTAATAGCCAATCACACCCCTTCGTGTCAACCTGTGTGCATGTTATCAGGCCAAAATCCCCGGGGTATGTGAATTTTTGATCAGGGTCATTTGGGTAGTTATTGTTGCGATTATGATTGGAAAAGAGTAAACACAGTTCATTGATAATAAATGGCTTCAGCCAAACCCTACCCATGAGTGACGGAAAGGTTTTCGTGTTATCATTCATATTCTCTGAAAAATGGCCAGGAAATCATAAATTCTGCCAGGGTATGTAAACTTATCAGCACAACTGTATATATATTGCTAAACAAAGTGATCGCTCCTAGCCACATATCACAACCTATGCCCAGTCCTGAGAAAAAACAACTTGCTGATTTTTTTTTCAACCTTGCTTTGCGCCATGTGCATAAAATTGCTGTGTTCACAGTGGTCATATATCTGCTAACACACACGTGAGTGATTGGCTGCACCTCCCTGATGTACCAATCCACCTAGCTTAATGAGTTCTAAATGTAGAACTTTCAGCGTCTTGTTTTCAGCGCTCCATCTGTCATGGTGTTAGATATCTAGGTGCAATCTCTTATCTGACATACAGGACAGAGAGGAAACGTGTTAAGGGCACACTCAATGATTATAACAGGAGCATTGTAAAGATTACACTCCCATCTCAGCCACTTGCACACATGTTGTCCTGGAGTTCTGCTAAAAACTAGTTAAGAAGCCATTTAAAAATTTTCTGAACTTAAAAAGTAATAAAGTGGTATACGAGACTAAACCTGAGAGGCAGATATCAGATTCAATTTCCCAAGTTTTAACAGTTCTTACTAGCCATAACCAGTGGCGTAAGAGTATTCGAAGCAGCCCATGCAACTGCTGTGGGGCCTGGGGTAGGAAAGGGGCCCTAATTGAGAGGCTGCTAAGAAAATTAAACTGTTCTTAGTATATAAGGGCTGAAGTCAGACCTCGGGATCATACTTTATCACTAATGCGCAGAAAGAACTCTTTCGATAACTGTCTTAGCAGTGTAGATGTTTTGCCCTCTGAACTTCTGCTACAGACTGAAATTACTCCTGTATGCCTAATGGAGTCACAAATCTCAGAGTGTCTATAACCTAAAACCTTATAGAATGGCTGAGGATTGTAGTTCTGCAAAAAAGAAAAGAAGCTAGAGTTTAAATGAGTTTGTATTAGGGTTACAGAGTAATTGTGTTCCGGAGCATTACTATTTTTGGATAATATAAAATATAATTATAGTTATTACCATTATTATTACTACTATAACTTTTATCCACAGCACTGCTCCCCTTTAGTGTACTGACGACGTTGACAGTTCTACTACCTATCCTTGATTTAGGCATACTTTACGTCAGAGGCGCCCCCAGGGCGGGTGTCAGCCGCCAGGACATCATCACGCAAGCGCGTAATAACGTCACAAGCACTTAAATGCTGGCGGCCATCTTGGTGATGGATGCCGGCAGAGAGGAGGGGCTGAGTTACGCCTCCGGGTCCCCTCCTCTCTTGTGCAGCTGTCGGGCATTCGGTCCATGACCGAGTGCGCGACTTTTCAGAGGGGTTGATACCACAATGAGTCATTTTGGTGTCATCCCCTCTTTTGGAGTCACTCTTGTGAGGCCACTGCTTTATGATAAGATCAATGACATGTACTATCACAGTTGACACTGCAAGGTACTAAAGAGAGAATTCAGAATTTTACTATGGGGCCCCATGATTGGTAGTTATGACTCTTATTATTTTTCTTGTTTTAATCAACTGACCATTGCCATAGCTAAACACGGCTAACAATTGTTAAATAGACCTTTAATAAGACAGTTATTATGTACCATTATGAACGTGGATGGGGGAAACTACGTATATTTTAATACACCTTTAAGTTGCTGACATGGGGAGGACATGAAATAACAGTTTATATACTCGTCAGCTCCATCTTGAACGGCATTTGTCCAAACTTTTATAAGTGAACCTGTCAGAGACCTGCTGCTTCTGCGCATGCGCCAAGCCGGGCTTCCCGTAATGGGCATGCGCGAGCCAAGGATTGTCCACATGCGCGCAGGCCCATTACGGGAAGCCCGGCTTGGCGCATGCACAGAAGCAGCAGGTCTCTGACAGAACCTCTTAATCATTTTGTGATGAAGTTAAAAGTGAGAAAACACTCCGGAATAGAGAAGAACTAGTCCACTAATGAGGGTAAATGAGGTGAATCAATGCTGGAAGGTTTGTATTTCAATCTCCTGAGTATTTGCAGGTTGATGTGGCCAATTTGTGGAGAATCGCACAATTCTTGAATACTATCAGGACTGGGCAAATTGGTATATAGAGATCGCTCAACTCACATTTCGCCCTTCTCTACTAATCAGATCAAATAAAAAGAACTGCTGTACAGATTGTTCTATTGTAGAGAAGTAGATCTTGCTTTTCAGCAGTTGCTAAAGTCATGTCATTGCTTTGCTAGTGAGATTGCAGATATTAAATGTGGAAACAAGGATAATAATAGAATGCAGAGGCTGATAGAATTACGTCAGGAAGGCGCTACAGATCAAACCGTTTCTAGCATTTTCTGCTTCCCTCCTTCACAGGACTGATTATCTAGCTATACCTTCAGAAAACAAGGAGAATTGTTCTGTTCCAGTGGAGGAGTAATGAGGGCAAGAAACATATGAATGCATAGAGGTAAGATTGCCTGAGGGGGTAGATTTGGCCATAATCAAACTACAATTTGCACAAAATACTGCAGGTGATTCAGAACTGAAATTGTTTTTGTTACCATGGCTCATAAAGATTCAGGAACATTATATGCTGAGTGGCCACGGCTGGGCCTTTAGCTCCTAGCTTTAAAAAGAGAAGAATAGAGTTAGACCCTCCATTAGGTTTTTGTCATTTGCATCCCTGTTGGGGAGATTTACAGGTAAATCTCCCCACAAACAGGGAGACAGACACCCCCTCCCAATTTTTCCCAAGACTGTTGCAGGGACATAAAGTAAGGGAGAATCCACCTTATGGGGGTAGATGTAGGAATTGAAACAACACGCCAAGTAAAACAGTCCAGCTGCAACTTTATCCCATTAGGGTCAGGGGACATTCAAGAAGAGCAGCCACCATGTTTCTTAGGTTTTATGAGCTGAATCTTTTTTCTTACAAACACACCATTGAATGTTTAGAGCAGCAGCTTACTAGCAAAAACTAGGGTCCTGTCACATTCTAATGAGAAGAGACTTTTCACATTATATGTAATAGGATTGTTATGCTTCCTATGAAAAAGCAATTACACACCATTGCATTAGGTCAATAAACTGCTAAGGCTAATCAACAAATACTACAACTGTCAAAGACTTTGTACAGCTTACCTTAAGAGTTATTTGCAATCCAATACCGGATTAGATTCCAGAGAGCTACCCAAATGTTGGGTGGTTGGACTGCTTTCTGAAGATTTTACTTCCCATCTCTGCTTGCTGTATCACCAAATTCAAAGTTCACAGGCAGACCTGAATCTGACTGGTGCCTGTGATAAAGTAGCGTTACTAAAGCCAGAATTCACACACTGACTTTCTATATGTGAGAGACAAGGAAGGAATCTTGAACAGGTTTGTTTGGGAATTTCTTCTGCTTTACAAACATGTAAGCTAAAGGGGTTACCAGCTCACTTGGAATCAAGCGTTGGGTGGACTATGGCTTTGCCTGGTTTCAGATATTGAAGCCCTGAGCAGCAAGGCCGTGCTCTGTGTATCTTAAGGTTTAATTAAAATCTGTACCATTACAGGCAAGAAAGTGATTAGTTGGATATCAAACATGGCAAGAAGCCTGTACGCACCTGCCACCATTTTTGCCTGGTGGTCCCTCGTTTGCAAGTTTCAACAGTAAACGGTGTTGGTGCTTAGACAGAGCTAAGTCGCTGCCCTCATGTGATGCTGCTTGGACCTGGTAAATGTCCACTGCATTATACAAGGTAGTGCATAGAGCTCTAGTGGGCTAAAAGGGCACTGGGTAGCACATGGAAAGTTTCTTACTATGCCTTCTATCCAAGTAACCTATTACAGGCTAACCCCATTAAGGGACTCCAATGCTGTGGAATCAACGTCTAAAACACCTTAGTATTGGCGGTCACCTTGTAATCTGCATACATTGTAAACCAAGGAACCCAAGTTTGAGACTGAAATCCAGGCTAAACGCATTGCTTAAATATAAGTGCCATGAGCATTTTTCATTGAATCTTGGTGTCCATTGTGTATTTCTTCCAGATCTATGCAGTAATTCAACATAAAACAACATGTGCCCTTTGTCACTGCACAGGACTTGACTGTAACACATACCAGTCAAAGCTGCCCTCACTCTTTCCATTAGGTAACTGGTCTTATAACCACCCCCAGTAGCTTTCTGCAGTTGGTAGAAGTCTGTAGACCTGCTGGGTCCCACTCACAGCTCTGCACCCTGCACAGGCTATACACAACATAGCATGGGTATGCAAAAACATTTGGTGCAAACAAAATAAAAGAAATATGTTTAATTTAAAATTAAAGTTTTTTTTGGTCTGGGCCAGCTTTAAGTTGTAGGAGGGGTGAAGAGACAAACTATTGCTGAAAAAATGGAGCATTGGAGTCTATCAGATATCCGAAACTGGTGCCACCACAAAACTAAAATTAATTGTGGGTTGTTTTTCTTTTACTTCATTAGAAATTGAAAATTGCAATAGACACACCTTCATCTGTCAGCATGTTGGTTAATCATACTAAGGCCATTTAAAAAGTGAAGAGAAGCAGATCCCAAAGTGCTTGTCTGCCCAAAGAGATAGGAGGGCGGGCAACCATTCAGGCACCCATGACAGATAACTCTGCTATAAAAACGAATGCACTAACAAATGTCAGCCATTCTGATAGGATACTTTACTACTGAGAACAAAGAAGTTCTATGCTTCTGCATCCTCCCTATAACCAAGCTATAGCATGTGCCATAGACACACATCACTGTTATGCCAGTTTCTAGCACAATAAAAATGTCAAGAATTATTTTTTCGTAGGATTTGTCTCACCTCAGCAAGTTCTTTCACATTTTTGTAAATTCCTGGTCCTATTAAGTGTTGTGCCGTCATACTGATCCATATGATGTTTTGTCTTGATTTTCTAGGAGGCCTATGAAGCTAAGAGGACACAGATCAATCTCCTATGACCATGGGAACAGGAGTTAGCCATGCAGATCCCTGTCCTAAGTATTCACAAACTAAACAGCTCCTTTCTATAATGCCTTACTTGCTTTGTAAAATATTTTATGATGAACATTATGGCTTCCTGAGGATCTAACCTGGGTTGTATAACATACAAGATTGAGACATTGGGTTCTCTCTTTTGCAGCCAAGGTGCTATAGGGCTGAACTGCTATAGAGTGGCCTGTTATCAGCAGTCAATGGCCCAGAAAACATCCTGTAAAAGTTATAGTATAATATATGTATTATGCCAGGCAGCTCAAGTTTTGTATAATGAACAGATGTCACCTGAAAACATGTTTCTGATCACTGAGCTGTGGAATGGGTTCAGTGAAGATTTTGTCATAAAAATATTGTCAGTATGATGGGCGTTCTGTGCCCAGCACTGTTGTGATGTTCACACACATATAAAGCGGTTGATTTCATCTCATTATCCATTTGGTGATGTGCAGTGTTATTTTGTAATCACTCCTGCAGAGAAGAAGCCTGCCTTCGTGAAGGATTTGGATTCTCGCACCCTGTAGACATACCCACAGCAGCCACCCACAAGTTTATAATCTATTTGTCTCTTTTTTTGTGCTACAATAACGATTGCACATTTTGCACTTGCTTTTTCACAGCTGCTGTGAAGTGACCAGTGTTGGCTGACATGACTGTTATATAAGTAGAACAGGAAATGACAAGATTTGGTGGTGATGTCTTCCTGGCACGTTATCTAATCAGCTGTCACCTGACTGAGCCAAACACTTTCCTAGGAGAATAATAATTGTGTTCCCGATTTTAAAATAATAAAAGTTGTGTGTACATATGAAGACAGATTTATACAGTGTGTGTGTGAGTAAAGAACAGCTACTAGAGATAGACCCGTGGATTCTGACCTTCACGAGATGTGTAATGGCTTTTGAATTCAAGGAAAAACAGGTTCAGTTATTAGTATAAGGAGTATTTTAGGAAAGGGTTTCAAAGTTCAGCGAAGATATATAAGAAGCACAACATCTCTACAAAAGAGACAGAATGAAGGAATCTTAGAGCTCTGTGTTCTTGGGGTCTGGTGTCAGAAGGTGGAGAGGATATGGGAATGAGAGCATGCTGTGCTCTACTGGTCTTGTGTCAGAAGGTGGAGAGGATGTGGGAATAAGAGGGTACTCTGCTCTAGAGGTCTGGTGTCAGAGAAGAGGACAGAATCAGAAGGTGCTGTGCTCTAGCAGTCTGGTATTAGAGGGTGGAGAAGATAAGATCAGAGGGTTCTGTGCTCAAGGAGTCTGGTGTCGGGGTGAAGGGTCAGAGGGTGCTTTGCTCTTTGGATCTAGTGTGAGAGGGGTGGAACAGATGTGGGAATTATAGGGTGCTGTGTTCTAGTGTCAGAGGGTGAATAGGATGTGGGGATAGCTCTAGCTATCCGGTATCAGAGGGTGGAGAGGATAAGAGGATCAGTGGGTTCTGTGTTCTAAGGGTCTGGTGCAAGTGGGTAGGGGGTATGAGGGGAGCTGATGGTGCTGTGGTTCAGGGATTCAGTATCAGAGGGTGCTGAGGATGTGGGAATCATAGGATGCTTTTTTGCTAAGGGTCTGGTATCAGAGGGTGAAGATGATGTGAAGATGAAAGCGCTGCACAAACTGTTGGCTATATAAATCCTGTATAATAATGATGTGGGAATAAGAGAGTATGCTGCTCTATCGGTCTGGTGTCAGGGGTTGGAGAGAATGGGGGGGTGGGGGG